GATTCTTCTGTTTTTTTTTTTTTTTTTTAAACCTGAGAGAGAAAGGCTTTCCTGATAAGGGAAAGTTGAAGAAGTATGTGTACCTACTTTATGTTTAATCTCATTAGTTTTCATTTAATAAGACGTGCCTATACGAATTTTTTTGTGGCTGCTATATTTTCGTTTCTATTGGATTTTAGGTACACTTTCAGTATAGGTTTGTCAAACTTTTTCTTATTTGAAAATGTGTTAGTACGATATTTTTTCTTTTTTTCAATATCAATAGGTAAAATTATTCAAAAAAAAAATAAAAAAATACCAGGTTTTGATCTACCAATTTGAAAAAAATGTCAAGTAGAGTATAATAGTGTAAAAATCCTAAACAAACATAATAAAAATAACGAAGTTCTGGTAGAGCTCACGAACAAAAGACTATCAAGATTGCTCGTTATCATAAATTTGTTTCATATTTATCTCAAAAAACCGTACGAGACGGTTTTCGAACTAGCAACAAAAAATAAAATCGACCATTTCTAGTTTTTCTCAATTTTCTAGAAAGCAAATTAGTTTTGATTGAATGTGGCTACAGATTATACTGAGCATAAAATTTTCTAAAACTTCACTTATTCAACCAATCCTGTATCTCTAATAATAGAGTGCATCGATTCTTTGAAAATGCTTGCAGTCTTCTTTGCATGTCCGTCTAGACAGAGCGTCAGCATTTTTATGCAGGTTTCCAGGTCCATGTTTAATTTGAAAATCGTATTGCTGAAATTTCTCAATCCATCTAGCAAGCTGTCCTTCAGGAGTTTTCATTTCTAAAAGACATTTTAGAGCTGCGTGATCTGTTCGAATTAGAAACTTACGTCCGTAGACATACTTATGGAAATGACCGACTGATTTTACTATGGCAAGCAACTCTCTTCTGGTGACACAATAATTTCGTTCCGGCTTTGATAGGGTTGGTTGTGCTATAGTACTCTATACGACTTGCTCTTGTGAATTTTAGATTTGTGAGAGGACAGCTCCAATACTTGTATTGCTTGCATCTGTGTCCAAAATCAACATGCCTTTCTGATCAGGATAGGACAACACTAGTCTTGTACATACTGCTCCTTCTAATTTACTAAAAGCCGAATCGCATTCTTGGGTCCAATTGAATGTTGATTTTTCTTCCGTTATTCGATGAAGCGGAGCAGCTATATTAGCGAATCCTTCTACAAATCTTCGATAATAAGAACATAATCCTAGAAAACTCCTTAGTTCATGTTTGTCGCGTGGCTTTGACCAATCCCTGACAGCATCTCTCTTTCCTTCCATAACTTTTATGCCATCTTCGGATACTACGTGACCTACGAATTCCACTTTCTTTTGAAATAGTGTCACAACTGCCCGCTTTACGGGGGTGACATGGGGGGTTTGTAGCTTTGGGGGTCGATGGAGAGAAACTCGCTCAAGTTATATAAAAGTGTAAATATATATTTTCCCAAATATGTCCTTACATGTACGCTAGTCCTATAAGACGCATGACCCTTCGAACACTGGGGCCCTTATAGGGAGCCACACGTCAACGCTGCTTGGGGGACTGTCGATTAGTTATCGTCACCCTTATGCCTTGTCCAGAGGGGCTTTCCCAACGAGAGGTAATTGCACTGGACAACGATAAGGCTGAAGATACCCAGAGGGGCTTTCTCAACGAGAGGTTCTTGCACTGGGGAGACTTTATTCCAGAGGGGATTTCCCAACGAGGGGTAGTTGCACTGGTTTAAGTCTGCCTTTGCTGCGGCTTGCAGCGCAATTTATATCCGTTTATTGCTGAATTGCAATAAACATCCGATCAAATCGGCAATTAAATTAATAAGGTTGAATACCGGGTCCTCCTTTCCTAAGCAGCTAGTTGACAATAGAAAACACTTACTTGGATTGAGTTTCAAGTTGGCATTCCGGAAGCGGTCAAAAATTTCCTCCAGGTTATTGAGATGTTCTTGAAACTAATTTCCCATGATCGTAACATCATTTAGCTGGAGTATTACACAATCCGAAAGGCATTACGTTGAAGTGGTATAACCCGCTTCCGGTACTTAAAGCAGTTTTCTCTTTGTCGTCATCTTTGTGTATTGCCACTTGCCAGTATACGCTCTAAAGATCCAAGTTGGAAAACCATTTGGAGCTCGATACAGTTGTTAATGTATCGTCTATCCTCGGAACAGGGAATCTGTCCTTCTTGGTGACGTCATTAAGCTTACGGTAGTCCACACAAAATCTAAGACTTCCATCTTTCTTTGTAACCAATACTATTGGCGTAGACCATGGACTATTTGACTCTTCAATAATTTCCTTTGAAGCATTTTATCAATCGTCGAGGTGGTTGTCTAATTGGGTGTGCCAATCGAGTATCAATTTTGTGTTGGATTAAACTGGTCCGTCCGGTTTGATTATCCATCACAAATACGTCTGCTTCTTTCAAGATGAAATCTTTGGCTTCTTGAAGTCTATCTGGGTCGTATCCAATTTCGATTTTTCAAAATGTCGCTTATCTGGTAGGTCACAGGTCGATATTTGCTGGTTCGAGAATTCCAATAATATCTCCTTCCTTTATTTTTACTGTTTCCGAAGAAACATTGGCAATTCTTGTCATAATGTCTCCATTTGTTCTTACTAGAGTATTTCCAACGAGAAACTTTTCTGGTTAATCTCCAGTAAAATTATGTGTTAGTCCAACGCAGCACCCAGGGTTTGTTTTTAATTTTTCGCAAATGATCTTCTCAATACTTCCAGGAATCCTCACTGGGTTTGTGGCCAGGATCTTAACGGCTTGGGATTCTTTTTGTGTAGTTAGGACAAATTCTTCATTACCAAATTTAAGTGTGTTCATAGAAGGATCGAAAAAGAACCAATCTTGGCCGATCAAATCCATTCCCAAAATAAAATCATCTTTTATATCGGCGACTAATGTTCTGTGCCTAAAGGTGGTAGATCCAGAAGTGAGCTCAACCATAGCTTCTCCTTGAACTGGTGCTGATTCGCCCGTGACTGTTCGTAGTGACAGGTTTCTGGTGAGCGGATGGATTGCCCGAGACTTGATCATAATTCTTCTAATTATAGAAACTTCAGCACCCGTATCAAACGTGATGGTTTTAAATTCTCGATTAATTTGCCCTTTGAATTTCAATCCTCTGTGATGACTGCCCAAGGATTTTATGTAAACAACCCTGGGGGCTTCGTCTTTTTTCCGGGGTAAACTACACAATCGGTTAAGTCTCTTTTGGGGATCGTCACTGCTCACACTGACTAACTGTCCCAGAGTTCATTATAGTGTACACACTAGTGTCCGCGCACTATTCTGCAATCGGATTTCACTTTGCAGTCCTCGAATTATTTCTCACTTCCGACAGCTATGTCGCCGCTCTGGGGTGGGTGACAGAAATCTTGGGTTCGTTTATTCGAAAATCAAAGTCCAATTAACACAACAATAATTTATTCCACGTTACTACACACTCTGAAACAAATTGCTTCACTAATTAACTCAAACAACTTAACTCTTTACAACTCTTACAAAATTCACTATCTAAATCGTATCACAGTCAATCTTAAACTCAAAACTACTAAGTAATACGGGCCTTTATATATCCGCAATCTATTCGTGTAGAATCCAGAATAAATGCGATTATTCCACTCATGTGTTAGAAATCCCATAAGACAAGTGACGATTTTCAGAATTACAGCGAAAATTCTCTTTTCCATTTGTTTAACTAGAGAGAATTACAGCGATAATTCTCCCATGTTATTGTATACATGGTTGTTATGCTAATTTTTGATACAAACAAACGGTTCCTGATAGCAACCATTTATTTGAATTGATTGTTAAAATCGAGGTTAAAATATTCAAATCGTTTAATACATATTTATTTCCATATTTTTTGCATTCTCATACGTGAAATAATCCTCTAAATACCACTTGAGCTTTAAAATTAACCAGATAATTTTTCACTCATGCGTGTTTTCTCTGCAAATCGTAAAAAATTATCGGTAATTTTGAAGCTGTCGGGGTATTATCCCCGATAATTTTTTTGCCCGAATATAGCAGTATTTTCTAGATTCCAAGTTAGATTCTGTACATGCTGGCGAACCTGCCACAGTATATTGGATTTTCATCAAGTAACAGCTAGTATATAAAAGAGACTCCCTATTCAAAATACGACCGCAAATAATTTAAGATTAATATTATATAAACAAAACGAACATATACGTTTCACAATACACAAATGACACACCTAAAACGAGAATATATCAACGTGTTATCTGTCCACCCTTATGCAAAGAAATTAGCCCTAAAAAAATACATCACTTATTTCATGACATAACTTCTCTAACAAATTAAATTTCCCTTATTCACTGTTATACATACCTAACCAAGACGGATTTAAATGTAGTGTATTCTATTCCTTGCGCAGATAGTCACTGGAAATTTATTGAAATGAGCTGGGATATGATCAACCAACTGCAATAGATGAACACACAAATCACTCTTCTGCTTCAACCAATACAAAAAGTTATAAATTAAATATAGATGAAAGATAAAAATTATTAGATATAGGCTAATAATAGAAGAAATGATTGAAATTTTAAAACAAAGAATGCTTTCAATTGACAAAGTAGATTCCAAGTAGAAGAAAAATCATTTGAATACATCAAAATCATGCCATCAAATTTGAAGTTTTGATGGTCGAGGTAATAGATACCGTGTTGGAAAAAAAATTAATCCGTTGATTATGTTAAACAATCTGTAATACTGGAATCTGGATCACACTTAATTAGCACAAACATCCAGAGAATTAAATTGAAAACTGTTTATTAAAACAAAAGTTTGACGGTTGAGTACTAAAATGAGCCCAACAATTAAAAAGCACCCTAGAGAAATATTTTAATGCATTTTTTGGAAACCTAAAGGTTATAAATATTAGATTCGTAATGAGTAAATTCATTCAAAAAACTTACTTCAAATTTTCTTATATCACCAGGGACGCGAAAACGGACTCCTTCGCAAAGCTATATCGAAAATTAGCACTGAATATAGAAGACAGTTTGCTTGGCCTCCAAGCCATTCTTCTAGAAGAGATGAAGTTGATGCGGCAGGTGCACCTAGAAAGTCTCAATCGATGGGTGCCCTAAAAGCAAATGCTAATGCTATGGTTCATAAGAAACGAATCGATGCAGAACATAAAGATGGTGAGTGAGATTCAATATTTTCATATCTTTCGATTGTTTTCTTCTTAATGGGAGTTATTTTTAGTGAGACATATTTGAATAATTATTATGATGGTTAGGTACCACTTTTATCGCCGCATCTTGATTATTGTCGCAGAGCCGTTTATTCCTTAATGATGGGTTCCGATATTCTGATTCAAATTTGCCAGTTGCTGAAGATTGTAACTGACTTTATTTTATTTTTTTTTTCACCGGAACGCGTGCAAACTCTCACTGAACGTTTGGGTTCTGCTTCGTAATGATGACATCAGGCCTTATCATCGGCAACAATAATTATTGGTTCTAGTACGGCATTACGATAGCGCATGAAATACTTTGAGCTAAAAAACCGATTTTTTTTTCAAACTTTGACACCCGGTATCTCGAAAACTAAGCATTCGCAGACCCATGTTTCAATTGTTATTTTTTTATTTTAATGAGTCTCTACTATTTATCCTAGAAGTTTGATCCCACTATTCAGAAACACCCTGGATAGTTTTCTGTATCACGTTCATTATTTTCCAATAGTTAACCTTTTAATAAAAAAATCAGGTGATAAACTTTTTGTTTTGCTTTAATTGTTGAAAATTAACCCTTGGTCAAATATAGCCTCAGCCATAATTATTCAGCATTGAAGAACCGTTTTCTTATTGGAATTTATTATCTCCTCTGTTCCACTATCGTGCATCTTTCTTCTCTTTTTTATTTTCTATTTTATTTTTGCATCTGATAGTTGTCTGGTGTTTACGATCTCTGTAAATCAATGCACCATCCAGTTGGTCTTTTTTCTGTCAATGATTCTGCTATAAAGCTGCTCCGTTGTTTTGATCTTCTTTTACTTCCATTGTTGAATATCAATCTAAAACTAGTTTAAGATTTGAAAAAAAAAGTTTTATAGACCTATTGTTTTTGACCTTTTATAGTGTAAAGATCTGTAATTCTCGTCGTGTATTGATGTTTTCTATGCTCGTCGTAGTTGTCCTTTTACAATTTTAACTTCTGTGTCAGTGCAGTGATTCTCGCTACGTGGCCGGCCCAGTTCCATTTGAGGGTGCATATTGTGTAATGGTCCTTTATGTAATATCTTCGAGCTTTGTTGTGTTTGTTATTTACTCTTTGGTCTTGTGATTCCTTAGTGTAATACCTACAATTCTCCTTACGATTGGTCTCTGATGTACTCGCATCTTATATAGGATTTTCTTTGTGAGCGTCCATGTTTCGCTTCCATAGGCAATTACTAGCAGAATAGATTCTTTTAAAACTTTAGTCTGCAGCTCCAAAGGTAACTTGTACCGGAATATGTGGCGCATTTTTCCGTATGCCGCCCATCTCAGTCGTATTCTTCTACTAATTTCAAGCTCTTGATTGACTTTGCCAAGTGCTATTTCCTATCCTAGATACTTTTAGGAGTTTACTTTTTCCACCTGTTGGTTTTCTATGAATATTGTGTCCCTATCTGTTTGCTCATTTGTCATAAACTCTGTTTTTGATACGTTCAATCCTAATCCGATCTTCTTGGCTTCTTGGAGTGATTCTTTCAACATGATTTTAGAAATCATGTCTTTTTCGTTTGGGGCGAATATTACGATGTCATCAGCGAATCTTAAATTATTGAGGTTTTCTCCAGGTATGTTAATCCCTTTATTTTCTTAATGTAGTTCCTTGAACCTTCGAGGACTCGGGTGAACAGCTGAAGTGATATTATATCGCCTTGTCTTACGCCTTCTTTGATCTTCACTTCGTTTGTATCTTCATGCATTCTCAATTTAATATTTGTCGCTTCTTGAATATGTTTTATTATATTTATATATCGCTGATCTATTCGTGCATTTCTCATAGCTCTTTCTGTCGCCCAGAATTCGACAGTGTCGAAGGCTTTCCTGAAATCGATTAATGCTAGCCATGTTGTGATGTTATATTCGGTCGTCTTTTCATTTAGTATTATTATGGTGTGAAGATGGTCTATAGTGATGTAGCTTTTTCTATAGCCTGTTTGTGATAAGGGGGGGAAGCATCTAATTTCCTTTCTAGGCGGTTGGTGATTATTCTCATAAAAAGTTTGTACATCTGAGACTAGGAGGCTTATAGGTCTATAGTTTTCAAGATTTGATGCGTCTCCTTTTTTGTATCAGAACGACGATGGCAGTCTCCTAGTCGTGTGGTATTTTCCCCTCTGATATTTATTGAAAAATGTTTTCAGTTGTTTTACAAGGTATTCTCCTGCCTCCTTCAGCATTTCTGTTAGTATATCATCTATTCCTGGTGCTTTTCCGTTGTTTAAGCGCTTTTGTAATTTCTTCCTCTTCTCTATCAGGGAGCTATTCTGACCCAACAGTTAGAATTTTGGATGTTTCGCTTTCGGTTTATTGTTTGTTATTTTCGTTGTTGCTTTTTGCGTCGTATAGTTCCTTATAGAAATTTTCTGCCGCACGCAATATTCCATCTCTGTCTTCTATAATGTTTCCTTGTTTGTCCAGCAGCTTTGAAAACGTTTAAGTTTTTTGTTGTTCTATCTGTTCTTCGATTTGTGCTTCTTGGTACTTTTTAAGGTTTTGTCATCCTTGTGGCTATTTTGTTAGTCTCTCTGTATTCTGGTGTATCTTTTTGCCTTGTTCTATGAGTTGTCTTCTCTTCTCCAGCATTTGTTTTGTTTTTTTGCTAAATTTTTTCATGATATTTTTCGCAGTTTCTTTTATTGTTTTCGTTATTGTTTTATTAATTTGATTTATTTCTTCGTGGGGTTTTATGGCGTTTTTCTCCAGTTATTGTGTTAATTTTCCTGCGAATTCTGCTTTTTGTATTTTGATGGTATGCGTGCTCAACTAACCCAAACTAACCCTCAACCATGGTATTACCAATTTACCTGTTTACCTGTTGCACGTTTCTGTGAAAATTTAATTCTTATTATCTGTATAATTCCGTTTTCTTTCACTTTATTATTTCATACTTTTGAAGTTATTCGTTAATCTTCTTAGATCTTCTGCCTGTCCTTTGAGCAACTTCTCTATTTTCTGCCATTATTGTTTTTTTTTTTTTTAATTCGAATTCCTATTCTGAACTGCTTTAGAAGCGAAAAGTTATGTGGCATTATTTTCGGCTCGGGTTGCACTCTTCAATTATTGTGAAAAAAAGGTCCTTCATTCAAAAGAGCTTGGAAACGATGCGTTAGTTAAGTTTTTTATATTTCTATTTTTCAGCAAGCGAATTGGAACCATTAGTGGATGATCGATCCAATCAAGAAAAAACGCGCGAAGATATAAACAGTGAGTATAAAAAAAAGTTTAGGCCTTTTAGTCATTACCAATATGTAAATGGACGATTTTCTTCAAAACGAGCCGTTGCTGAGGTTCAAAATGTACATAAAGATTTTTCTGCAGACTTGGATAATGATGCGTCTTGGTACCGTGAAGTTGTTGAACTTCGTAAAAAAGCCGGAGAATACAAGGTAACTAATAAACGAGTATAGAAAATTTTGAATCTTATTCAATAAATGAATATTGAAGATACCTATTTGTTTGAAAAATATTATGTTATTACCTATATATTTAAGTAACTTTCAGAATTCAATAATATTTTTTATATAGCTACACAAATTCCACAAAATATTGTTTTTATTTTAGAATAGAGGCTGGGGATCAGAGTTAGCTCCTGAGCGGTTATCGGATATTTATAATAAACAAGTCGAATTATGGGATCAAGTATCAAGAAGAAGTTCCTTATCAGCTTTGTCACTAGCTTCGCATATGACTAAGACCTATACTAAGGAGGACAAAGAAGAAGACAATAATCGAAGAAGCTCTCCTACTAAAGCTTATAGAAATGCCGAAAATAATGCTAGAATGATTAGGGATATTATAAGGCATCACTTAGAACGAACCACTGGTGGGTCTGGTAAGATTTTAAGTTTTTTTTTTTTCATATACATTTTTGTACCTTTTAATCAACTACCTTTGGAACATAATTTCAATTAATTCTAAACAGCAATTTCTTGTAGAACTTGATGGCCTAATCTTATCACCCACTAGGGAAAAATTAGAACCGACTATTCCTAAAAAAGATGACGATTCAAGAGCCTCCCAGAAAAATAGTCCTAAAAAGAGCTCACCTCTAAAAACTTCCAGTAAACGCGGAAGCCAGAAAGCAAAAGAAGGTGCGCAACTCATTTATTTAAATGTTTTGTATTGAAGTTATTCGAGAAGACGCCAGGCATGTTGTCTTACTTTTGCTCTATAAAAATTCCTGATGCAAACATCAACTTTTAAAGGCTCAAATTAATCCACAAGAGGCAATAGTAGTTTACTCAACCTTTCCCCGGGTTAAAATAATAATTATTGCACCAACAAAATATGTACAACTTGTCAAGCATACCCGGAGGCGATTTTACATAGTATACCATGTATAGAGCATCGAGTCTATAAGCTCCGCTCCCAAACCCAGTCCAGCTTTGGTCCACTATTAAAAATGTCTGTAACGCGGTATAGAATGTAATCGGCAGTGCGCAAAATGGGGTATAGTACGTAATCGCGTTATAGACTCGCACGCGGGATAACTATTTCAACCTATTACAAACCTGTATTTGGACATTCAGACCATTTTTTAAATAACGTCGGATAGTGGCTTTAGTTATTTTTTAAATTTTGATGTCAATTTGTTCATTGCATCCCTTTTTTATGTTCCGCAAGTTAGAACTGCCTCTTTTCTGCGCATTCTTGTTAAAGTTGTTATGCTCATAGACGAAAAGCTAATTTTTGTACATTCGGAAACGTTCTTCTAACTCTCCAGTTTGTATATGTATCGGCACTAAGATTTTCCATAAAACTCTTAACTTCTTCTGCAAAATCACTCCCCATCATTTTGCATCTATGTAGAGCCTTATGTTCTGGACAACTTTTAAATTCTAGGATTTCTATTTCTACCTCAGGTTGTAATTTTTTTTAATAAAATCCCTAACGTACTCTGCTCACCCATCTTGATTTCTTTTCACTCTGCGACACTTGCGAAATAAATTAAAATGAACAATTGCATGCGAATCGTAGGTTCTAGAATTCCTAGATACTTTCGGCGTTGTCGTGCTGTCTTACTCCGTTTCATCTCCTTTGCCGAATGCCGCGTTTCTGAGAACCCGACTACAAACTATACCACATTTAGCGCGCGTCCTAACTACATTCTATACCGCATTACAGACATTTTTAATACTGAACCAAAGCTTGACTAGGCTTGGGGGCGGAGCTTATAGACTAGTATACTATGTAAAATCGCTACCCGGAGACGTGAATAATGCAGGAAGAATGCGTTCTCACTCGGTTTCCTAAGCAGATAGTGAAATCGCCAGGTCTTTCCGTATATTTGACGTGAAGAATGCGGTCTCACTCGGTTTTCTACGCAGATGGTTCATCGACTTGGGTCACTGCCTCCTAGTTCGCCTTCCTTTATCCAACAACTCAAAAAGTTGATAAGACAGACCTCTTCTCCCCATAAGTAAGCCATACGATTGTAGCGATTAAGAAATCCACTATTTTCGATATGAGTTAAGATTTATTTTTCGCGACCCAAGCTTTTTCTCTCTATCGTTAGGTATATTAGAAATAATTCTTGGAATTTAATGTATTTTTGTCATAGGAATGTGTCTGATTTGTACCGGTTTTACCCCTTTTCACCAGCGTTCCCAACCGAAGGGCTCAACTCTTCCCTATTACATAGGGTGGCGTAGCCGCAGAGGAAAACGCATGTTTACTGAATTTCACAACTTTCAAGAGCGGTTGAAGAATTGACTCACATTATTTTCCATCATGAATTTAAAAGTGCACTATTACTACTTCATTTAGCTGTAATTGAAACAAAATTATCTTGAAAATGGAAAATGTTATGCTTACGTCAGAAGTGAAAAACATGCGTTTGCTCTGCGCCAACCTGGTATAAGCTGCATAGGAGCGCAACTATTTTTCAGGTTCAATTAAAACGAGGTGTGCAATTCTTACATAAATAGGCACCTATTTTATCTAAATTACTAGATTTTTCGATTCTGCTATGAAAGGGAGGTAACCCCCCTCTAACGTTATAAACTCTGCATCAATTAAGCAAAAAGACAACTATTATCATTGAGCATATGGGTGTCGCATAGTGTCTTCTTGCATAATTCATCATATGTAATACCTTATATTATATTATAGTTCGTTCACAATCAGTTGGGCCTACGGAAACTAATAAAGAGAAGCAATCTCCAAAGAGACAATCTAGGTCCACAGTGAAAGAAGGGCGAAAATCTACCTCCAATACTCCATCAAACAAGAGACCTAGGCCCTGTAAGGTTACATGTAGTTTTGAATAATTTCACAAATTTGCAGAGACTGACTGATTACATATTGATATTAAACTCTAAGGTATACTAGAGTCCGCGTCAGCAGTAAAGACTACGGTGACGACAGAGAAAGCTGCGCGAAGCGGGTCCGATCTCTCTCCCTCGTCTATCTCTCGCTGTCTGCCGTGACTTCGGCCGTGAGCTGAAACCAGCAGCGGGGTATCTTTTTAGACAAAACTTGGATAGAAAATAAACTAAATAAATATGCCTGCTGGCCGTACGACAATGAACCACGTGCTTGGCGTTCGGCAGCAGCACCGAACAATACGATAGTTCGGTTAGTCTTCAAAATTGGGTTTGTGCGCAATTGACGTCACCGTACTCTTTACTCTTGACGCGGACTCTACGTTAAAGTGCTACCTAAGCAATTAATATGCTGAGATTGGAACTTGTTGGTCAAACTCAAAATTCACCACTACACTGAGAAAATTTTTTCATTGTCATAGCTAATTTTTCTGCTGCCGTAGCCAAAAATTTTGGCTACATAGGGGACAGCCAAGATCTTTACTACCGCCGAAAAGATAACTTTACTGGCACCGTTTATTTGCGGTAGCAAAGTGACTTTATAAAGAATTTACTCACAGTTTCTACAAGGTCACTTTGCTGGCATAGAAAAGCTACTTTGCTGTCGTAGGAAAGTAACTATGCTGTCCTAGAAAAGAGGTTATATACCCTCAAAAACATCCTTTTTTGCTATTGAAAAGTAGATTGCTAAGACAGAAAAGATATTTGTTGTTGTTATTAGAAATGCTTCCTGAAATAGGAAAGCGTTTGTCTCAGAACAAAAAATTTCTTGCCAGAATCAGCCAAGTGTTTTATTAGCCATGGGAAGTTATTTGTCTCACCAATAGCAAAAATATTTTGCTGGAAATCTTTGGAAATATGTAGTAGCGCGTCCATCATAACAAAAGCAGGAGATAAACAAACTCTATTTAAACCCCTAAACTTTCATTACCTGATCTGAAATAATGTCAATTAATGAAAAGTTTGGCGCTAGAGTTGTTTCTGCTAGTTTTGATGGATGCGCTGGCACCATTTCCAAAAAGATTTCCAGCGACCGACACTCGACTTGACTCGACAGCATCCACGATCCACACCGTACGGCGTTAGCTACTAAATAAAATGGAAGAAAATGAACACGAAACATATTTTATCGGTTATTTTTGGACCCGAAGAAATCACGGAAATGTCCGAACGGTATTTTTAGTTAAGTTATTTGGCTAGGGTAGCAAAAAACATTACTGTAACAATAACAAAAATTACAGGAATTTTTTTTGCTGCAACAGTAAAGTATCTATCTATCTTAGAAAAGTTCTATTTCGGAGAAGCAGAAATATTTTCATAAAATTTTAATTTTGCTATAACAGCAAAGTTTGGTTTTGGAATAAGAAATATCTTTGCAGTTTCAATAAAGTACTTTCAGCAAACTGGTCTTTTCTGTAGAAGCAAAATAACATTGCTACCTCTAAAACATTTTCCACTGTAACAGCTAAAAAAAAACCAGCAAAGAATTTTCTCCTGGGACTTTTCTCAGTGTAAGTTCTAAAAATTATATGGCAAAATCTTCCACTGAGAAAAGTCCCAGGAGAAAATTCTTTGCTGTTTTTTTTTAGCTGTTACAGTGGAAAATGTTTTAGAGGTAGCAATGTTATTTTGCTTCTACAGAAAAGACCAGTTTGCTGAAACTACTTTATTGAAACTGCAAAGATATTTCTTATTCCAAAACCAAACTTTGCTGTTATAGCAAAATTAAAATTTTATGAAAATATTTCTGCTTCTCCGAAATAGAACTTTTCTAAGATAGATAGATACTTTACTGTTGCAGCAAAAAAAAAATCCTGTAATTTTTGTTATTGTTACAGTAATGTTTTTTGCTACCCTAGCCAAATAACTTAACTAAAAATACCGTTCGGACATTTCCGTGATTTCTTCGGGTCCAAAAATAACCGATAAAATATGTTTCGTGTTCATTTTCTTCCATTTTAGTTTAGTAGCTAACGCCGTACGGTGTGGATCGTGGATGCTGTCGAGTCAAGTCGAGTGTCGGTCGCTGGAAATCTTTTTGGAAATGGTGCCAGCGCATCCATCAAAACTAGCAGAAACAACTCTAGCGCCAAACTTTTCATTAATTGACATTATTTCAGATCAGGTAATGAAAGTTTAGGGGTTTAAATAGAGTTTGTTTATCTCCTGCTTTTGTTATGATGGACGCGCTACTACATATTTCCAAAGATTTCCAGCAAAATATTTTTGCTATTGGTGAGACAAATAACTTCCCATGGCTAATAAAACACTTGGCTGATTCTGGCAAGAAATTTTTTGTTCTGAGACAAACGCTTTCCTATTTCAGGAAGCATTTCTAATAACAACAACAAATATCTTTTCTGTCTTAGCAATCTACTTTTCAATAGCAAAAAAGGATGTTTTTGAGGGTATATAACCTCTTTTCTAGGACAGCATAGTTACTTTCCTACGACAGCAAAGTAGCTTTTCTATGCCAGCAAAGTGACCTTGTAGAAACTGTGAGTAAATTCTTTATAAAGTCACTTTGCTACCGTAAATAAACGGTGCCAGTAAAGTTATCTTTTCGGCGGTAGTAAAGATCTTGGCTGTCCCCTATGTAGCCAAAATTTTTGGCTACGGCAGCAGAAAAATTAGCTATGACAATGAAAAAATTTTCTCAGTGTGGAAGGTAGATATTCTAATATAATAAACAGTCAGTTCGTCTCTGTCAATTGAAAATCACCAGTGTGTGCCAAGAGTCGCCCCTTGCTCTTCACAAGACGCTTAATTCATGATTTTTTCAGTGTATCCTGTCTTTCCCTTTCCCAAATAGCCTGTATTGTAGTTTCGTGAATGTGTGTGGCTGACCTTTTGGCCAGAAACCATTATTTTTATTTCCGATCTTTATATTTTTGGCTCATTTAAGGTTGCTTATTAATTTGGCTTTCGATGTGTGCTTGTTTTTTTAGGAAAATAATAAGCTCTATCATTAACAAATTAAATTGTACGTTATATTGTGTTTTGTCTCTAAATTCTAAATAGGAAACTTCTACTTATTGTAATGGTCAGATTTTTGCTTTACCCATGGAATGCAAGAGTGTGCTGCATCAAATATTGCAATTTTTATGAAAACAAAATAGGCTGAACATAAATAAACGGGATTGGTTTCTGGCACTGCTTACTTTTATAAATCTGGTATTTATTATATAGACAGTTTGAGAAAATACCATGTGTGTTAGGTTGTAAGTAGATACTGTAACAAATGTTTCGGGTTTTTTAGCATCCCTGAACACAACCGTCTCATCCCGATCCAAATCAAGTTCGGTAGTAACAAAAAACGAAGATGATAGATTGGCCAAAACAAATAAAATTAAAACATTAGGTACGATAGACTCATCTAAGCAAAACCAAAAAGGAAGCCGAGAAGGTAAGACCTTGTAATAAGGCACGATACTTGGCACACGCAACTTGTATAAAAATATTACAATTTTACCACAATTTGCCGATATTTATTTTCATATTTTTCTACATAATATATACTAACAATCATATAAAATTGGTATTTTTTTATTTATTTATAAATGTCTTCCTCCCCTTCCTTTTTCACACATTACATTATTCCAATTCTTTTTGTTCTCGTTTTATATTTTTCCATATCTGTATTAATTACCCTTTTGTTCACAACGGACTCACTAATTTTCAAAATTGGATAAAGCAACTAAATATAAATACAATAATTTTCTGTACCCTTACCTTTGAAAAACTTTTTAGAAAATAAATTAATACGAAACTATCTAAATAAAAACACGCACTCTATTTTTGACACGTCACAAGTAGCAATTTGATAGTAATGCCACTTATTGACAGCATTGAAAATGTTTAATGCATTTAATTTTGAAAAGTTGCCAAAATAGGTACCTACTAAGAAAAGTGGGTAGGTATCTAATTAAAATAATTAGTTATGGATTCAAAATTTTATATCATTTTTTTTTTAAATTACTTAATATTAGTTATACTGATTCAGTTTAAATGTTTTCTCTCACGACGATGCACTACAAACTGGCAACAGCGCAATCAAATATTTCACCAGCGGCAATTGCAACAGCTGTTTGCGCCTTGATGTTGCAGCACACTCCTAGATTTGATTGAAATTATTTTTTAGACGTCATCGTAAATCGCGTAGGCACTTCCATTTCACTTTTGACTCCAATTATTGTTACTTAGGTAAGGGTTCGTTGCTAACTGAGTGAGACTACTCTTCCAAAATTTATATACTTTTATTCAAGAGAATAACAGATAAATCCCGACAAAAAAAGCACCATAATTTCTTGAACTACAATTGAGGTTAACTAGTCACAAAACTGAATCATAATTCATTCAGTCGTATAAATAAAGTGCATCAAATGCTTTTACTCTACCTTTTTCTCTTTTTGCTGCATTGGAGCTGAATATGTTTATCTCAAAAAACTTAAGCAAAAGCATTTGCTTCTGTTTTATCCATATGAGCCATTGTCTCACAATCGACTCGAGTTCCATCAATAATCCAATATCGACACACTGGCGTCTAACTTATCACTGACTCTACCCTAGGTTGCGAAGTTCGTTCTATAGTGCTTCTAGAATTGTCAGATTCGTCGCTTCCATTGATTTCGAATTCGCTGTACCTACTATTGCGCAGTAAAATTCTGTTCGCGAATTTTCTAGTCATCGGGCAGTGTTGCAAGATTGTGCACCAAATTTCCCTAGCTTGAGAGACATATATAACAATATATTTTTATTTTTCCTTGTTCCTTCTCTGATAATTTCTGTTATTGTATATCTTCACCTGATGATGTTTAACCATTTTTTTTAACAGTCTTCTGGCTGTCTAGCTGTTGCATTTTTATTTCTATCTTAGTTGTTTCTTCTTTTATGGTGATATAACGTCCTTTGGATACTTTAAAATATTTCGTCCGTATCATTTTATGTTACTATTTAGTCTCGCTCATTCTTAATCATGCAGTACACGTCACTTCAGATGGTTTTCATTTCCATAGAATAATTTTAGATTTCCTAATGATTTTTGGTCTGTTTAACCATCAACCAACTGTTTTCTTTTTTTCAATAAAGTGCCACAATAGCCTCATTTCCCTTTTTTACCTTTTTCCTGATAAAAATAAATGAAAGAATATCTTCATGTTCCAGATTAATATTCGTTAACTGTATCAAATAAACCAAAATCTGCTTTAGCATCGGAACAGCCAAAGTCTGAACAGATGTCATCAACTGAAATGAAAAAGAATCAGGAAAACGAACAGCTGGATAGTATAGAATATGAGCCGGTGATCAAATCTCCTCCAGAGCCAACCAGAGTTAAATCTCCAGAGCAAATAATCATGCGTTCACCAGATCCGGTAAATTGGACTGTACCTCTGGATACTGGAAAAACGTTCACTGTTACCCAGAACGTTAGAGATGGTAGGTTTTCACTTTAGATTATACATCATAGAATGGTCTCTTTATCATACATACAAACAGAACTTTATTATTTGGGTCAAATAACGGTTTGAAAATAAAGTAGTGGCATTTTCCGGCCGATTTTTCTTGATGTCGTCTATCCAGCAAATCACAGTTGGTTGGGCTATTCCATTTGTATAGCAAATAAAATATCACAAGTGGCGACATTGTGACGAGAAAAATTATAGTAAATACATTCTAGATATTTTGGGCAAAAAATGTTTAATTTGGAATATTTTATAAACGATACCTGACAGTAAACATTTATAGAAAGAGATGTATGTGCCTACAGGTTTCATTTTAGTAATTGTATTAACGATCATTGGGTGCCCCTAGTTAAGTTGGTCTGGCTATGCTGAACAATAAAGACTGAATGATGGTAAAACAATCAAAACTGATTCAAAATGTAAGACAGGCGTTATTATCTTGTTTAATTTCCGAGCTTTTGAATGTGAAAGCATGCTGAATATTGATAGGTAACTGAAAACCCAATAGCCAAAAATGTAGGTAAAAGGGTATAGTCTAATTCGCCACATGCTTTCACTCTATCTCCGTCTCTTTTTGCTGAATTGAAGCTGAATATGTTTATCTCAAAAAAATTAAGCAAAAGCATTTGCTTCTGTTTTATTCATATTATGAGCCAATATCTACGCCGTCGCCGTGAATTTACAGTTACAGGTTTCTATACCACCTATCTATTAACAGTATTTGTGCGCCGTAGTGTTACTTCAGCTGGTTTGGTTCGTAGATACTTGGGTGAAATTTGCACTATTACATTACAACACTTAATTCCGTCAAAGATTCAAGCATAATAACTAGACACAAAACTAAATCTCAACTCACTGTCTCCCTATCGATTCGCGTTCTAGTAAATATCGGATTATTGACTAATTCGCGTTGTTAAACTTATCACTAACTAATTCATGACACACTGGCGTCTAATTTATTACTGACGCCCTTGGCGGCAGACTTCATTTTAAAGCGCGTCGTTGCTTCTATAATTGTTTAGAATCTAGATTATTTGCATTAATTGTTGAGGTTAGATTTCACATAATGTGTAATTCTATTTGTACGGCCTGCACACTGGATTTGGGAACAGATGAGAAGCTTTCAGTTGCCTATGACAGCTTCAAAAGCCGCACACACCTTGCAGAAAAATGTGCAGGGCTGTCATCTTCAAAATCCAGAGCTGTCGTCCTACAGTCTTGCATGTAAGGAGGGCCTGTGATTCACTTAAGGAATCTAGTCTGCATTCGGCATCATATAAGTTATGAATGCACTATATCTGTTTCATGTGACCATAAAGCCAATAGTCTTACCTACTATGATTTTCGAAATGGAAACTACAGGGACTTGAACAACTATCTAGCTTCTATTGATTGGATGATATTGCTGGGTAATGGTAACATAAATGAAATCACGAATATTTTATATGAAATATTAGCAGAAGGAATTGCCTGTTTCATTCCGTTGAAAAAGTATCGAACATCTACTTTTCCAAAATGGTTTTCCTCGGAGTTCAGCAAGCGAACTTAGGAGAAAAAGCATGTACACTCACTGTACAGGGTGGCCCATTTTCGATGTTTTAATAGGCTATATCGAAAACCAGCAGAGATATCAAATATCTGGGAGCACATTCTCGAGCTCTTTTTTTGAGAAAATAACAATGGCGAAGACAAATTACGGCTAACTTGATGCGTTTAGGAAATACAGGGCACTTTTCAAATTTTGTCCAATTTTAAAATACTCTCTAATTTCCTTATTATTCAAGTTATCCAAAAACGAACTTTCTAGAGGCAGTTTTTCAAGGGGAATCCAGTGGCATGACCAATTTTTCTCCAGATGCCTCCGATTTTGGAATATTGACCAAAGTTGTGTTTTTTAAATGGGGTATATTATTTTTTCATTGAATAGCTCTTTGTGAGCTAATTTCGATGATATAAGGTTTTATACCTTTACCTTCAATAGTTTTCGAGAAAAAAAAAATCCGTTTTTTCCATAAGAAACAATGAGTTCGAAAGAGATAGTTGCAGTGACGCACCTAGGGGGGGGGCCATCGGGCCAGGACCCCCCCAGGCCGCCCCTCCAAAACTTTATTTTTACGTATAAAAATGTGGCACATTCAAGGCGTGGCACCCTGACGCCTCAATTTTTTTTTTCAGATTTTCAGTCACATGCCATAACCTATCTAGCCCCCCTCTCCCAAACATATTTTCTGGGTCCGCCACAATCTGTAGGTATCGTAAAAATATCACTCTTTGAGATTAAAAAATCGTAGATTCGTTACCTTTGGTTTTTTTCCAATCAAATATTGGTATGTTTAAGCTAAAAAGCTTCTAAATATGTACAGTGTGTCCACTTAAGTTCGCAGCATATGGGAAACTTTTTTATTATCAATTTTACGAAAAAAAGTTATTCTTTATAAAAGTTTCTGCTTCTTGAAAAAATAGTATTAAACTATTAAAACTTTCAATAGCATGTACAAGTGTCTCTCTGGGAGTAAAAAAATCGTGACTCCAGTATTTTTGGTTTTTTTCCAATCAAATTTTGGTACGGTTAAACTAAAGAGCTTCTGGATATACAAAAAAAAATCCTCATTCTCCAGAATATCCCGAATTTCCAGAACAAAAATTTAAAAATTCAGGCCATAGACTGTAAGGCAAAAATATCACTCAGTCTGTCTTTTGGATTAAAAAAATTGTAACTCTGCTATCTTTAGCTTTTTTCCAATCAAATTTTGGTATGTTGAAGCTAAAAAGCTTCTAGATATTTAAAACAATTCTTCATTTTCCAAAGTTTCTCAGATTTCTAGGAAAAAAATCAAAAATCAGGCCATACTTTGTATTGTAAAAATATCACTTAGTGTCTCTCTGGGATTAAGAAAATCCTAACTCCGCTGTCTCTGCTTTTTTCCAATCAAATTTTAGCATGTTAAAGCTAAAAGTCTTCTGGATATTTGAAAAAAAATCTTCATTCTCCAAAGTTTCCCAGATTTCCTGGCAAGAGACGCACCCGAGGAGGAGCCCCAGGTCGCCCCTCCAAAACTGAATTTTCACGTATAAAAAATGTCATAAAATCAGGGCGTGGCACTTTGACTCCTCTTTTTTTTTTCAGTCACAAGCCACAACCTATGTAGGGCCCCCCCAAACATATTTTCTGGGTGCGCCACTGGATAGTTGAACTATGAGTCGGCTACAAATTTCTTAATTCTTAATTTAATTTTTCAGTTCAGCTTCTAAAATTGAACAAAATTTGAAAAGTGCCCTGTATTTCCTAAACGCATCAAGTTAGCCGTGATTTGTCTTCGGCATTGTTATTTTCTCAAAAAAAGAGCACGAGAATATGCTCCCAGATTATTGATATCTCTGCTAGTTTTCGATATAGCCTATTAAAACATCGAAAATGGGCCACCCTGTACATGAAGAATCGTTCTGCTGAAAATTATATAAGGTTCTCTCGGCTCAGATCAGAATGTAAAACGCTTTCTGATGTTAGTTTTGATGGTTACATTAGAGGAATTGACATGAACTTGAAAGATGATCCAAGATCATTCTGGAAGTATATTAATGACAAGTGTTCAGACCACAGTCTACCTGGTGTGCGGTGTGCTAGCCTATGGGGATCAGTCGGCTCATACTGGGCAAGATATCACCAATCTAGTCAGGGAGTTTTTTCAAACTGTCTATACAAAAAACCATCCATCTTCAATTTCCTCTACTGAAACTATGGACAGCAACTGGAGCTCCAATATCAGTTTTACTGAAATTACAAAGACTGACATTTTCAATGAAATCTCCAATATTCCGAAAAACTCATCTGGACCGGATGGTATTCCAAACTATCTGTTAAAGGAATGTGTATGCACCATTGTTCTACCTCTGTATCTTCTGTTCAATAAGTCTCTCGAATCTGTCACCTATCCTGACAGTTAAAAAATAACCAATATAGTCCCAATATTCAAGAGTGGAAGGAAGGACAATGTGGAGAATTATCATAGTACATCCATCAAATCAAAAGTTTTTGGATAGTTTAGTTAGTGGACAGCTATAATGGCGGTGCAGGGGGCTTCTTTTCCAAAATCAGCATGGCTTTTTTGAAGGCAGGTCAACTGCAAGCAATTTATTAACAACACACCAGTATCGTACGGAACATGGAAGGCAAAAAACAAACGGACTCAATTTATACAGACTTCAGCAAGGCCTTTGATCGGGTCGATCACCAAATCTTACTTAAAAAACTGCAGGAGTTTGGTTTTCATCGGAATTTGGTAGTTTGGCTAGAGAGCTGTTTAACTGGTCGATTACAACAGGTTAAAATAGGATGTTTTTACTCAGAGGTAATATTTGTTACATCTGGAGTTCCACAGGGGGAAAATTGTTCACCATTGCTATTTAACATTTTTGTTAATGATATCGTTGAGTGCTTTCTCCATTGTTTGTGTTTGGTATTTGCTGACGATCTAAAATTTTGGAAGGAAATGGAGTGTATGAGTGATCAACAAATGTTGCAAGAAGATTTAAATCGTCTATCAGAATGGTGCAAAACCAACAAGTTATATTTGAATGTGGAAAAATGCTGTTTTATAAGTTTTACCAGAAGACCAAACAGAATACAAACTTCATACACATTGAATGGCCAGCAAATTAAATATGTACAGACAGTTAAAGATTTAGGTATTATATTTGACGAGAAACTATGCTTTTTTGAACATTTTGCTTCAATTGCTGTTAAAAGTTCTAAAATGTTAGGTTTTATAAATAGGAATTGCAAATTTTTTTTCAATTGCTTCATATACACTTGTTTACTGCGCTCTAGTAAGAACAATCCTTGACTACTGTTCAGTTGTGTGGTCGCCCTTTCATCAGGTTCATTCGGAATTATTTGAAAAAGTTCAACAGATTTTTGAGAGAGTGTGCCTATTAGCTGGATAATAGAACTGTATTGGATCATGAATATAGCGAGATTGGACACCAATTATCCTTGGCTCCATTAAGTAAGCGTCGTGATATGTTTGGTGCAATATTTGTCTATAAGACTATTAATGGGTTGATTGACAGCCCTAATCTCGTAAACCAGGTCTGTCTACATGTGCCATATTATCATGCATTACGTAATCTTAAAACTTTCAATGTTCCTTGTCATATTAACGTTATATGGAGTCAATAGTCCCATGCATAGATATATGTCATTACTAATGATCTCAATGTAGATATTTTTCACTTATCATTATAGACCGTCAGATAGTGACAGATTTAGGTGCCTCATTTTCGCATACAAGCCTCGAAGCCTCGGTTGAAAAGAACATCGATTTTGAGTAGGATGAAGGTATTTTTACGAATGGCTCCTGGGGATGACATATGGAAAATTCGATTTTACTTATGTTACCCGAAAATGTAATTTTCCATTTGCGACACTCAAGCCAATATGTTTTCTTGCTACCGAAGTTGTAGATTTTCATCCTTCCGATGAGCTTGTGTGGAATAACCGCCCAAAATCTCGATTTTTCCTTACAAGATTACGCTCTTATTTCAAACCTTTAGCCACCTGCAACACCCCCTTCTTTGTTTTCACGAAGCCAGGTTTAATTAATTAATCCTTTGGTGAACACGGCTTGCAAGAAAATATGGAAACCAGGACGTCTTCCATTTCTGTTACTGAAAATCGAATTTTCGATACGTTATCCCCAGGAGCCACTCGTGAAAATACCTTCATCCTACTCAAAATCGATGTACTTTTCAATCCTCTTCGAGGCTTGTATGCGAAAATGGGGCACCTAAATATGTCACTATCTGACGGTCTATTAGGTGCTTTGAAGAAAATAGCTTTAGGTTGATGGTCAAATATGTTATTTTTTTTTATACCATGTATACTACTATTGAGTTGCTGAGAATTTTCTTTATTTAGTTTTTTTTTGTTAATTTTTCTTAGTACTAGAAGATATCTTTTTGTACCTAATCTTATTATTATTGATTGTTGTTATTAACAGTTAATGGGGTTATCCCGTATAAATAAATAAATAAATAATTCGTCTCGAATTCGCTGGACTTGCAGGGTAAAAATCGATTCCTGAATTTCCTAGTCATCGGGCAGTGTTGCAAGATTGTGCACAATTTATACTACTTGAGAGATTTATAACAGTAAGTAGGTACCATATTCTGTTGTTTTGCCTACAAACGCGGTAGTCATTATTAAAGGCGATAAGGCAAGTTTGTATGTAAAATATCGACGAAAAACGTTAGTTAGTTACATTGAAACTACCGGCCTTAATTTTTTATTCTACATTTCTCTTTATAAAAAATAAGTTCAAGTTTAGTACCTACGTACATTTTAAACCTATGCCAACACTGCACAAAATTTCAGATGAGACTGGCACAATCGTGGTACAAGCATTGTTTTTGAACAAGATTTTTACCTAAACTTTGTAGCTTATCAATAAGTCTCGGTTATAAAAGTCATCACGACTCTTGATGACAGTTTTAAAAGTCTAATCAAAAACATCTGTTCCGCGATTATGAGCACAACTGAACAGGGTGGAACATTCACCATTCTCGAAGTTTTACTGGGAAAACAGCAGAGACAATATAAATCTGGAAGTAGGTACCTACCTACAATATTTCTTAAAAACTTCTGTAGATCTGGTGGCTTCAGAAGGGCAACAGAAATAATATAGGAAAAAACTTGATCAGAAAAAAATTCCATGTATTTTAAATAAAGAAAACTTACCTAATCACAATACTGACACAAATAGCGTGCAACACACTGCAACTACTTCTGCTATAAAAAATATATATTTTATTAAATTTCAGGGGATCCCAGCAGTCGTCCTCAGAGTGAAGTGAAGGCCTGGACTCCTCCAGATATTCCTCCGCCAGTGGCTCAGTCAGCTCCCCCAACACTATTTGAGGGACATCAGGCCAGCTTGTCGTAGGCGATAAGAGGCCCTGACTTATGCTTAATCCATATTCGATTTGATTATGTTGCTTTAGGTATGGATCTAGCAGGAAGAGAGTGAATTTGGGCCAGGGCAGGGCCATTGATGCACAGGTGAAAATAAATAATTTCTATTTTTAAAGCATTAATTGAGAATATTTATTTTGTTCTAGTATAAGATTTCCCATCTCTACCGTACAGCCACCATACATGTCATATTGACTGCCTCGCCTTCATCAATCATATTCCAAATACAACCTTTTTGGGTTTTAAAAAATAGTTCATCAGTGATTTTAATAGAATACGTAATGTAGAGGTATACTGTTAACAGGGTAGTAGCCAAAAAAAACTTAACACAGTTTTTGTGAATTGGGATATAATTAGAAGTTTAGCTGTCCTTATTTAAGTCATATTTCAAGCCTTTATAATATTTGACATAACTGCTTAGGTATATAATATGTTTCATGCTGTCCATATCTATACCGAGTCCGTCAAAAGTTCACAGCAGGAAATATTTCTTTCGTGATAAGTTAGCCAAATAAAGTTACAAAAACAAGTAATCCAACGTCCCATTTTTTACAAAATGTTGATAAACAAAATTGTAATCTTTTATCAGTGCTCTCGTGTTTCTGCCACAAAAGGTTATACCATGTTATACAAACTATGGTTAAATATTACATTTATATATTTTGTGTAGATGCGTTTGCTTGCATATTTTCTTGTTAATTTAGTGTACATCGAACGCACTTATTTATTGATATTCAAAAAAATGGTAAAGAGATATATAAAGTTTCTGTTGAAAAAAGAATCTTGTTGTATTATTTATTTTTTAAACTACCCACCTAACTACCATCAGGCGGAATCATTTTTGCTAATGAGGGTGCCTATTTTGAACAAAATAGTGGAAAATGGAAAATATATTGCTGTAGTCGAGACTTTCTTCACGCCATGAAATTAAGTGAGGGGAACAACAGTAAGTATTATGTAACTTTCTCTGCGTTTTTGGGAACTTCTACTTTTCCCAGCGGTAAATCCAAATTTCCGCAGGAAATGGAGCCTTGTCGGAAAAAGGGGTGAGTCTGTGTTTGTGGTAATTCTTTTTTTCATTTGCCCATAACAATAAATCGCAAATGGACTCTTTCACTCATTTTTGAAATTGGCAAATTGGATAAAGCAACTAAACATAGAATTTTCTGCATTCTTACTTTGGCGAAAGTTCATAGTCCTTTTTGAGAAAATGAATGAAAAAAAGATCTTTAAAAATAAAAACACGGAATTTATCCGCACTACGTCACAACTTCAATTTTGGGAGTGTTGCCACTATATGTCAGCATTGACATTTGTGATAGATTTAATCCTAAAATGTTGGTGAAATACGAAATACCAAGAAAAATAGTTGAATTAATAATTATTTAGGGATTCATAAGAATTTATAATTTTTTTTAAAAATTATTATCATACACAAATTACATTTAGTCACAGCTGACAACAGCGCAATCAAACCCTTTACCCAGCGACAACGCTAAGCATTTATTTTATTCATTCCGTGCATGTATATGGCACCTAGCACAAGCCCATTGGTCGATTTAAAATTTAAACCAATTAAACTTCGAATGCCATACGCGCGTACGGAATGTAAATCAGTGCCATACCTACGCACTTACGGAATGTCATACCTAGTTATTGCAGCAGAAAATTGGGGCTGAAAACGAGTCAAGCGTCAATTATTCTTCAACTATATCTATTTTAAACTGCAGTAAATACTGTATCTCAAATTAAGTGCTAGTATGGCGAAGGTAGTAATGATTTTCTAATTTTTTCACGGAATTTCGAATGTAATAATAAGGTAGATAGGTATTATTGACACATTACAAACATGTTTAAATGCATTGAGTTTATTTATTTTAGCATTTTGGGAAAGATCATGGTTTTTCTTTGGCCTTTTCTTGGCAGGTTCCCCAGCTGCTGAACGACCGACGGGTTTTTTTTTGCTTCCTCTTGTTATTCCTACTTTTCTTCTATTTAAAGCTGTAGACTGAAATTCAATGGTGGACTTTTGCCTATAGCGCTGGGGCAGGGGCACACGAACTTCCCGCAGTACACTACGCAATAGCTATTTGTGTATTAACACACATGATTTTTTCTACAATCGCATTTTACAAAAAAATAATCCGAAGAAACCAGTTTATTTCTGTCCAGTTCTAACAAGTTTCGTCGGGAAAAAAAAAGTCGGGAAAAATAAGTCGAGAAAAAAAGTCGGGGAAAAAAAGTCGGGAAAAAGAAAGACGGGAAAAAAGAAATTCGGAAAAAAAAGAAGGGCAAAAAAAAGTCGGGAAAAAAAAATCGGGAAAAAAAATGGTCGGGAAAAAAAAGTCAGGCAAAAAAGAGTTGGGAAAAAAAAGTCGGGAAAAAAATGGTCGGGAAAAAAAATTGTCGGGAAAAAAAAGTCGGGAAAATCAATGTCGGGAAAAAAGTGGTGGGGAAAAAAAACTCGAGAAAAAAAAATGTCGGGAAAAAAAGAAAATCGGGAAAAAAGAAATTCGGAAAAAAAAGTCGGGAAAAAAAAAATCGGGAAAAAAAAGTCGTGAAAAAAAAAAGTCTTGACAAAAAAAAGGCGGGAAAAAAAAGGCGGAAAAAAAACTGGGGAAAAAAAAGCCGGAAAAAAAATAGGGGAAAAAAAGTGGGAATCAAAAATTGGGAAAATACAAAATTTACAAGCGAGCGTTTTTAGGTCATCAGGAAACGCCTACTTTGCGATCATAAATCTAATCTAACTAAATGTATGTATGTTCGGAAGGAAAATAACTATCTTGGGATTGGGAATATACGGTGTGAACGACGACGAACCCGTTAATATAAAGGATTTATTTTATCAACAATTGAGTGAACAAATCATAAAAGTAGGAACTTCAAGGGAAATAATATTGCTGGGAGACTTTAACGGACGAACAGGAATGAAAATCAACGACAAGGTGGTCGGAAAATTTGGAAAGAATGTAACAAATAATAATGGAGAAAGGCTCATAGCAATATGCCAACAAAATAACCTGAAAATCCTAAACGGTTACTTCCAGCATAAAGAAATACATAAGTACACATGGAAAAATGAAACCAGACAACAAAAATCGATCATTGACTACACTATCGCAAAACAGAGCTCGAACATAAAATTCCAGGATGTGAGAGCATATAGGGGAGCGACCTGTGCAAGCGATCACTACCTCCTGAAAACAAAAATCTTCATCCCGGGCAGAAACACCGCAAAAGAAAATGGAATGGAAAAACAAGAAGACAAAATTGTGCCTGAGAGATACAACCTAAAATCTCTAGAAGAGCAAAGCGTAAAGGGGTTGTACATGAAGATTGGATCAAAAATTACGGAGTAGTATAAACTTCCAAAACCTAGAAATGCATTACCAACATATCAAAGAGAGTATTCACAGTGCAGCATTTGAAGCCCTAGGCAAATACGCAAAAAACGGAAGAAGGCCCTCACCCTATTGGTGGGATCAAGAAATAGAGAAATACATAGCAGATAAAAGGAAGAAATACCAACAGTATCTAAGTTCAAAGAAGACACAGGACAAAGAAATATATAAAGAAGCACAAGCAAGAGTACGGAATAAAATAATACAGAAAAAAAACGCGTCATGGGAAAGAAACTGTGCGCATATTAATACTTATCTGGGGGGTTAAAGAAACACAGAAAGTTGGAGATTACTCAAAAACATGAGGAAAACACAAACTAAGGATATTATCAATACAATAACACCCCAGAAATGGGAAGAGTACTTTGAAGAATTACTGACAGAACAGCGAGCAGAGTTTAAAGATGAAAGGGAACAGACACGAAACATAAAAACTGCAGAATCACCTATAAGAGTTATGCAAGAAGTTAAAAAACACTGTAGCTTCTTGAAAAAGGGTAGTGCACCAGGCCCAGGAGAAATATATGGAGAACTGATAAAGTATGGCACCAATAAACTCTACAAACATTTAACAAAACTATTTCAAACATGCATAGATAAACATGAAGTACCGGAACAGTGGAAAATAAGCTATTTAACAACGATATATAAAAAAGGAGATAGAAACAAATGCGAGAACCACCGAGGAATTGCAGTAACAAACACACTGAGCAGAGTGTATGGAAAACTCATAAAAGCCAGAATAGAGAACGAGTTCAAAGATAGTGAGGCAGAAGAACAGGCCGGTTTTAGAGCAGGAAGATCAAGTGTAGACCATTTATTTATTTTTACCCAGGTGATAGAAAAGAAACTAGCGTATAACCAAGAACTCCATTTACTCTTTGTAGATATAAAGAAAGCATATGACAATGTTCCGCTGAAAAAGCTTTGGGCAGCACTGGAAAAAACCAATATCAATTTAGAACTTATCAAGGCAGTAAAAACCCTTATAGTGATGCAAAGACCAAGATTAAACAGGGAAACATGATCAGTAAAGGCTTTATAGCAACTAAAGGACTTAAACAGGGATGTTGCATATCACCAACGCTTTTTAAAATATACTTAGAGCAAGCGCTTAAGGGGTGGAAAAACAAATGCAGATACATGGGAATACCGCTCAATGAATACAATTTATATACTTTAAGCTTTGCAGATGATCAAGTAGTAATTGCACAGGACTATGATGACCTAGAGTACATGACACGAAAACTGATAGAGGAATATCGAGAAATGGGGTTTGGAAGTAAATCTAACTAAAACAGAATATATGACTATAGGAGGTGAACAGCAAACTCTGAAATTGAATAACGGACAAGAAATAAAACAATGTACTGAATACAAATATTTGGGCATGAAAATCTCACGTGAGGGAACCCTAGACGAAGCAATTAAAGACCGGAATATACAGGGACGCAAGGCAATATCCCTACTCAATGGTGTACTGTGGGACCAAAATATCAACAAAACTAACAAAACTAGAATATACAACACCATAGTCAAAAGCATGGTCACATATAGCTCAGAAGTCTGGCCACTAAAGAACAGAACCGCAAAAATGCTGGAAGCAACTGAAATGGACTTTTGGAGGAGATCCGCAGGCAGGTCAAAGATGGAAAGGATAACAAATCTGAGAATAAGGGAGATTATGGACGTAAAACACACAATAGTAGAAGATATAAAGGACAAACAGCTAATTTGGTTCGGACATGTACAAAGAATGGCAGATACAACGATACCCAAGCAAATTATTGAGTGGAAGCCAGGGGGAAGAAGAAGACGCAGCAGACCGAGAAGGAGCTGGAGAAGTGGAGTCGACGAAGAAATGAGAGACAGAGGCTTAGAAGAGGATGCCTGGATTGACAGAGATGGTTGGAGATCGGGAATCGGAAGACGTAGAACGTTATAAACCGATAGTTATATATAATCTAATCGACAAAGCCTGCTTTCTAGGGCGATTGTAGGAAAAAAACTTTCCCAAGCTGTGCTTGCCCTCATCACCTGCTTTATTCGGTAAAAATGTTTGAATAGTTCGCTATTTTTAGAAAGCATTAGATCAACAATAATATTCTGAAAGTTGATATAATCCTCAGTACTTGTGGCCATTTCAGTTATATCTGATAGTTTTTCTACTTCTTCGATCATTATTGAGGGCGTTGGTGGACACTAAATTATTTCCTGAAGATATGAATTTTTCGCTTTCAGTTGCAATGCCACAGGTCGTTGATGGTTCTAAGACCATAACGGCTGAACATTTTCCCCAAAAACTAGCTTGGCCATAGAAAGACGTGCTTCTGAAGAAGCTGCAGGCAAGTTGGCAGAAGACACTCCGTAAAAATTTAAA